AAACATTTAGTTTAGGTTGTAAAAGCTAATCGCATGATTAATCCAAGGCTTCATAAGGTTGTTTACTTTGTTCTAATAAAGGCAGAATTAAGCAGACCGAGCACACAGTAGGACAACAGACTAAGTACATAGTCTTAAATGATCTCAGGGCAGACTAGCTTGGCATCAAGATCTTGCAGAAGTTCAGTCTCTTCAAAGACTGAATATTTTCAGAAAGCTCCACAGATTTTGTCTTAAGTCATTGGTGCAATGACTTAAATTAACATCTCTAAGGATACATACCTAATAAAAGACAAACATTCCTAAGTATGTATAACTTGACTGTAGATATTAAACTAAGGAGAGAACCAGGTGCTTTTGAAAGTATTGAAGAACTGGGTGGCTTACTTGAAGCTTTTCTATGTCTGTTGCAAACACATCAAAGCTTTAGATAAGCATTGATCTTAGAGAGGGTTCAGTGGTGACCCACCTTAGCCAACAGATCAGCATCTACTCTACATAACTGAATTTCACATAGAGCGTTTGTACAGGCTGTCTGCTTAATACTGCCTTCCTCAATCTGGATTCTCATTTTACTGATTGATTACATTCTCTTTCTGCCATAAATGTTAGATTATTCTCTGCTTGAAAACATTAGGAATTCATAAACTTAAATGCTATACAGTTTAGCAAAGGTAGTCTGTAAACTAAGGCAAATGTTTACTGAAGCACAGAGGCATGTGAAGTTGTTGGCTGTTGTATCCTGTCTCCATTTATCTTAATGATGGTTTTTGTTTTGTGAAGAGAATTCTTGTAATAAAAATTAATAAAATCACAAGGTTGTTTGCTTTGATACCATAAAGTTAAATTGGTTCAGTTTCAATAAAAGGAACCTATTGTGTCTGCGTTTTTCAAGTTTGTGGGAAGGTAGCTCAGTTCATGATTAAATTCCAGAAAGAAGCTGTGAAGAAGAAGAGCCTGTGTAAACTTCTTACATCATATTTATTAGAGGATCGTTTTGGCTATGTATTCAGTCAGGTCACTCCTTCCAGCCTTAGTGTTTAGAGCTTACTGTTTCCTCACTGTGAGGTGTTCTGTGCAGAGGAAATGGTTATTAGGTCTATTTGCTGCCTGATGTGTTTTAGTATTTGGTAAGAAAATGTGGTTTTTCAATAAACTAGTGTAAAGAACATGGTGATAATTTGTATTTAAAAATCAAATGGTGTATTACAAAAAATGCTGTTTTGAAATGATAATATCTTATAGTGTAACCAAACACATAAGCTCTTAGATCAGATAGGCAATACAGTTTTATTGCCAGGTATGAAATTTTGACCCTCCAAATGACCTATATTACCATATAATTCACTTTATTCAATTACAGCATCATTGATAATAGAAGCATTACATTAAACTCCATTAACAAATTTATTGATACTTTATGATTATGTTTATGACGGTAGTATTTGTTTACCATCTTTTTGTTGTTTTTGGTTTTCAAAACAGTTTCTCTGTATAACCATCCTGACTGTCCTGGAACTCGCTCTGTAGATTAGGCTGATTCCAACCTCACAGATATCCATCTGCCTCTGCCTCCAGAGTGCTAGGTTAAAGACATAAACCACCACCATCTGGCTGTTTACCATTTTTTTTTTAGTGAAGCTATTAATCATGTACCTTAATTTAATATTCTTTATCTTCATCTACTTTACAAACTTTCCCATGAAGTTACAAAAGTGTTCCCAGGGGTTCAGAGCTGTTACTGCTAGCAAAGAATCTTTTGCTCTGCCTGGATATGAGTCCTGGGTAGGCAAGGAGACTCTTCCATTGCCAGCAATGCTGGTCCTGGAGTAACCAAGACCTAGGGTCTGGGCTGACAGACCACATGTATAACAGTTAAGAACCCTGAACAATATAGGCCTATTACTCCAGGCTTTCATTTTAACACAAGACTGAAGCTCTACTAGACCATCGGGTTGGAAGTTAATTGCTCCTGGCATTTTCTGTCGGTGGCCCCAGAACAGGGCAGCATTTGTAATCTGTAGGTTTGGGCAGTCTTAAACGGCAGAGATAGGTATTGTTCTTAGTAGTAGAGCTTGCTTACAGATTTTGGGTGCTGAGACCCTTGATTCTGGAACAAAGATATGAATGAGATCTTCATCCTGATGACAGTGACTAGTGTTGGCAGTTCTCAATGCCCGAAAGGTTTGAGACCCTTGGCAGCTTCCTGGGACTCTCCTCGTGTCTTCATGGCCCTTGGTGGCTCTCATCTCTGCTCCCTGTTATTTCTGCCATTAACTCTGGAACCCTTCAGGTCTACTTACTACAGACTGTCATTGCCTCCACTTGTGCTTGGACTTTTCCCTTTTTTGTGTGTAACCAACTGAGCTTGTCCTAATTAACATAAAAAGTAAGAGAAGGACACTGGAGAAGCATTTTATTGGGCCTGATGATGCATACAGGTGTATGCATGCAGGTGGTAGCAAAGGAGCACATCTCCCAGCAGTCCATGCAAACACAGAAATGTGTGCTAGGCAGGGCAGAGCCCTGTATACAAATAGGAACTCTGCTGATAGCCGGAACAGCTCTTTAGCTGGACCACCAGGGGAGGTGCTCCCCTTCTGGCCTGGATAGGAACAGCTGTGGGGTCACGGGGAGTTCATCAAAGCTTGTGATGGCCAAAAGTTTGGATGTTGTACTTCAGCAAGCAGGTTGGTTTCTCAAAGCACCTATCTATAGAATGTTGAAAGCGGTGCCATAACTCATTCAGCTGAATATGTTGTTGGCAGTCCTTTGCTCAGAGTAGAGGGGGCACTAGAGGACGGGTCTAACGTTTGTCTAATTGGAGAGTCAAATTGTTCCAACTGACTACATCTTGAGTTAGTTGAAGGAAAAATAACCATTAAAAAGGATGCTTACAGTGTAGATTTACCCTTACAATTAATGGTGTTTCACAATGTGTAACTCTTAACCCTATGTCCCAGATGAGGTGGTGTCATCTGATTTGCTTCAGAACCATTCATTTCCAAAGCATTCTCCATCAGGTGCAGAGTGTTCGCATCTGGAATAGTCAGAACTCCTGAAAATGTTACTCTTGTGATAGTTTGATGAAGGAGGTGGCTACTTTTTGCCCTTATCCAAAGAGTCTGCCTGAGGGAGGCTAAAGTGAAGAGTTTAGAATTGATTCCCTTGGAAGAAGAAATTGTAGTACGAATAATAAAAACCCAGAGACAGATATTGGGGTCCAAGCTGAAGATCAGAAAAGCTACAGCCATCCATTGAGATATCTTACCCCCACCAAGGCTCAGACAAACAAAGGGGCGATCGTGCAATGTTCTCCCCCAGCGTCAGACTCTGCTGAGTTCCTGTCTCTTCCCCTTTATATTCTCTCTGCCCAGCTATATAGCTCCTGTCTTCACCTCCCTAGTGCTGGGATTAAAGATGTGTGAACCCTAGTGCTGGGAGCACCTCTCTGCGAGCTCTGTTCCTCTTTTAGACAGATTAAATCTTGTATAACCCAGGGTGTCCATGAACTCTCAAGAGATCCTCTTGCCTTTGTCTTCCAAGTCCAAGGATTAAAGGTGTGTGACACCATTCCCTGGCCTGTATGGCTCACTAGTATGGCTGCTTTGCCCTCTGATCTTCTGTTTATTAAAACACAAATAATATACCACTCTAAGAAATCTCAAGACAGCCTAGTATAGACTGTTGTGAGGATACTGGTGGTAACCATAATGAAGATATATAATGAAAAGGACACCAGGATGTGGAATGGAGCTAAATCCTCTGTTCAAGGAGGTAAATGGATTAAGAGATGTTATAAAGGGAGAGGTGATCTCAAGGCAAGATCTCAGCCCAGGTTAGTTTCCAATTTGTGAAAAGGGACTGAAGAAAAGCTTGGGAGCTGAGTGTGCTAGGGCACACACATTTAATCCCAGTACTAGGAAGGCAGAGAGTTTGAAGTCTCCTTTGTCTACAGAGCAAGTTTCAAGGCAGCCAAACTTAGGCAGTGAAAGACAGCTGGTGAAAATGTAATTGAACGAGCGTGCCATGTTCCAACACTAGCAAGCAGCAGAACTTGACAGCTTCAGCCACTTGGTTCCGATTTTAGAGTTAAGGATAGAAGGAAGGAGTTAAAAAATAAAGCCGCTGAGGCCAGGCATGTGTCAGGGTGTCTCTGAATGGAGGCCTAGTATAGAGATGCAGCCTGGATTGCCTTGGACCTCAAGATATCAAAGATGCCCGAGTCATGGGATACCTGTCGAGGAGAGCTGCTAGCAGGGAATGGAACCGGCCCAGAGAAGGAAGTGTGTTAGAGTCAATAAAGCTGAACAGAGTTGGAAGAGTTGGAGATCTAAAGAATATTTTACACCAGGCATGGGGCTACTGAGTTGGGAGTTTACTTGACTGGGTTTTGGTCTTGCTTTTGACCAATATTTCTTCACTGTGCTCCCTTCCCTGTGTTTCAGAATGGTAATACATATCCTGTGCCATTATGTTGGAAGTATAGGATCTACTTTTTGGCTTTGATTTTTATAGGGGGATTACAGTTAAGAGATTGCCATGTGTCTCAAAAGAGACTTTGGACTTTAAAACAAGTTTGAGATGGTGATAGCCTATGGGGATTTTTGGAGTTGGACTAAATGCATTTTTGCATTGTGATATATCAATAAGCATTTGGGCCAGGGAGTGGAATGTAGTGGTTAGAAAAAAAAAATGACTCCCAAAGGGAGTGGCACTGTTAGGAGGGCCTTGTTGGAGGAAGTGTGTCATTGTGGGGGACAGGCTTTGAGGTCTCTCTCGCTCAAACTTATGTCAGTGTTATTGTCAGTCAACTTCCTGTTGCTTGCCCGATGTAAGACTCTCTTATTTCTCCAGTACCACATCTGCCTGCATGCCACCATGTTCCCCTTCATGATGGTAATGGATTGAACCCCTGAAACTGTAAGCTAGCCACCCCGATTATATGTTTCCTTTATAAGAGTTGCCATGGTCATGGTGTCTTTTCACAACAGTAGAAACCAAACTAAGACACTGATTGTGTGTGTGTGTGCGTGTGTGTGTGTGTTAAAAATTTGGAAGGTAATTGTTAAAATGTTAAAGAGAATAGGATGATTGTTGATACTATATTGATTCAGGAAATCTCAGAAATTAGATATGTTCTTGCTACATTAAGTTACAACTCTCTGTGGTGTTCTGTATTTCCCATTTTAAGAGTATCCTCTTAGTGAGTTTTCCGATGCCATATACCTGCATTCCATTTTCCAGTTTTGAAGCTAAACAGTCTCTGTCATGTAGGGTCAGACTGTGTTGCCTCCAGCTTCTCATGATCACCATCAGTAGTGTGTGCTTAGATAGAGTTGACTTCTAAAACAGGAAGAAATGACATTTTTGATATTTTTTTCCTTTTTCTTTTAAGATTCTTGACGCTTAACTGCCCCAAAATTCATACCCGGTGGACATGTGAACGTCAGAATTTTAGGTCAATACTGACATGGAGAGGAGCATGAGCAACTTAATTCTTTCTTAATTTTGACTTTAAAAATCAAATGTTACTTTGTTGTACTTATCCCTTCTTGTTCCCCAGGTTATTGTAGTCAATAAGTAGGGTTACCTTGGGTCAGCCCGGTAACAGAAACATGCAGGACTAGAAAGGCAGAGACAGGGCAGCCTGGGCTCCAGCATGAGACCCTGCTACATGCCTCCGCAGTCATCTCTGTTTGGAACTATAAGTGAAAGGTTTGTCTTTTAGATGCGAGCGTATGTAAGGATGATTATAAGTGCTTTATACCATTTACAGGTTCTGTTTTCTTGGGTTCATTAAGGTCTTTGTTGTTTCAAGATAATCCATCAAATGATGGGAATATAGCAGAATGTCAGTGTGCCAGTTAAAATGTCTGTCTTTCCTTCATTGTGCTTTCTCGTTTTTAATTAGTATAAAAGTGATACCACCGATGATTTGGTGAGGGTCAAAGCAGGTTCCAAGTAGTGTTGGGGTATAAAAGGGTTCCAATGTCAAGCATGATTTTTTTATCTAATGAGTTTTAATAAAAGCACTAAATTACTAGTTGGTTTGATTTATTCATCAACATTTGTCTGTGTAAAGTCATAAATAATCTTCTAACACTGTCATGAGCTCACTTCCTTCTCCTATTCTCTGTATCCTCAAAGTGAGTCTTCTGTATTTTGGTTTCTCTATTTGCCATCTGCTTCCAGTCCACTGAAATTACTTCTTAAGGTCATGCGTGTTCTCCATATTGCCAGACCAAATAAATACTCTGCCATCTTACTGACAGTTAATCACTTTAATGTCCATTGAACATGTCTTAGTTTTCCTTCTGTATCACTAACTAGTCCTCAGTCTCCTCTGCTTTTCTTCCTGTTTGCTTTTTTTAAAAAAAAAAAAAAAATTACAGAGATGGTTATGAGGTGCCATGTGGTTGCTGGGAACTGAACCCGGATCCTCTCGAAGAGCATCAGATGCTCTTCACCTAAGCCAGCACCTTGTCTGCCTCTTGACTTCCATAATAAGGGTGCTCTCGAATTAGGATCTTAGCCGTCTTCTCCAATTTCTAGGTGTCTTTAAAAACAACTTGCATACCTATTTTTAAGATAAAATTGGGTATTTTAGAGATCATTGTGAAAGAGCATGTGTGCTGGAAACGTTAGTTTTTCATGGGAGATAAGTTTGCACAATGGTTCCAAGGTCTACCATAACCACTTGTATACCTCAGTCTGTGTTTTCAGAGGACAGCTGCCTGGTGAGTGACAGCTTGGGTTGAGAAACTTGCTATGAGCTCTTACGTTACCGCACTGGACTGGTTTTGAAGCTGACGTCCATAAGATGCACTCAGAAGAAAGCTGTGCTTCTGTTTCACTCCTCGGGGTGAGGCATCAGAGGTGTGAGGCCAGCGTGCAGCAGCAGAATTTCCAGTGCTCAGATACTGCTTGTTCTTGTTCGTATTAAGCCTTTTGTGATGCTGTTACTGTTTCAGAGTGCTGCAGATGCACAGGCATGGAGGAGAAGCAGTCTGGATGACGCAGGAGTGATGCTGCTGGCCAGAGCTCGGAGACGTGATTCTATGGGAAGGGCTGTAGCTAATCCATCCGTGGTCTAGGTAAGCCTGCTTTCCTGCGGAACCCCCCCCCCCCGTTAGCCGTGCTGCACCATGATTCCCATTCTTCTTTATCTTGAAAGTTGTGTTCTTTTGTATAGTAAACCTATACTACTCATTGGCTCTTTACCATGTAAATATGAATAGAGTTGTCTTTATTGCCAGATACTTGTTTAAATAGTAACCGGTATGTAAATGAACTAATACCTATATCAAATACTGCATGATTAATTAAACACACACAAGACTTTTGTCTATATTAATTGGTAAAGGTATGTGAGAAAAACATTTTTGAGACATGAACTGATTTATAAGATGCTAAAGATGTCAACCATGTCATTGGTAGTACAGTATATTTATCCAGCCTCAAGATAGTGACTGTGTTCTAAGACTCCAATTCTTCAGTCTGTGTTAAATATAAAGCAGTAAGTAAGGATACTTTAAACATACACCAATAAATAAATAGATGAATGAATGAATGAATAAATAAATAAATAAATAAATAAATAGAAGCCCAGTGGTGGTGATGCCTTTGATTCCAACACTTGGGAGGCAGAGGCAGGCAGATCTTCTGTGAGTATGAGGCCAGCCTGGTCTACAGAGCAAATTCCAGGAAAGCCCGGGCTATACACTGAGAAACCCTATCTCAACAAACAAAATGTAGGTCCCAACCCCATTACTACTAACTACAGAAATGTTTGATTGGTGTTCTTATTTTTCAGGTAATGGCTTAAATACTCATAATAGGGTCTTATGAATAATGATTATTAGATCAAGATGGAAGTTTTGCTTAATTTGCTAAAGATAGAGGTTTGGAATCTAGTTTAGTGACAGATCATTGCCCGAATATAAATAGGAAGATTTGGGTTCAGTCACCATTGTCCTCCTTAACAGACATAAGAGTCAGATGGCAGCTTGTGAGAGCATAGTACAAAAGCTACCAGTACAAATAGTAAAAGTTGCTAAGAGTTCTGCTGATTAACAGCTTAAACTTGGGGGGGGGTGTAGTAAAAAATAACCGTAAAAGCAAAGAAAGGATATTGCTGCAACAAAATTCCTTACTAAATCGATTTAAAGGGCTTTTTGTCTGAAGTCAGAATGCAGTACATCACAGCAAAGAAGACGTGGCAGCCGTTGTGTCTTCAGTGGGAAGCAGAGAAACACAAGTAGTCCTGCTGAGCACCCTTTCTCTCTCTTAGTCCGAGACCCCCGCCCACGGGGTTACGTCGCTCACATTTAAAGTAGAGTTTTCCCAACTCATCCTAATGTAGAAAGTTCCTTGTAGTCATGCCTACAGGCTTCTCTATGCTGGTTCTAAATTTCAAGGTTAATCATCACAGAAAGTTAATATTGTAAGAAAGTTGTTGGGAGTTAATCTGGGTTGGTCAGATTCTTGTAGGTTATTGAACCTGATTCTAAACAGTGGTTATTGAAAGGTGGTTTCTGAAAACTCCTTTGCAGTTTCTTATGAAGACTAAGCAGATCCTAGATTGATTTCATGTACTGTCTGGAAAGATTATTTTATTTTAAGTCCTTAAGTAGCCTCTTCTCACGCAGATTTGAGTATGAGCACAGTTGAAGAGGATCCTGACACAGTAACAGTAGAGACTGTGAACTCTGTGACGTTTACTCAGGACACAGACGGGAACCTCATTCTTCATTGCCCTCAGAATGGTAGGAGACTTTGCTGACTATAATTGAACCTGGGGATGTCTCAATTCCATTTTGTCTGTCACCTACACACATAGTTCAGGCTAGTGTAGTTGAAAAAGTTCTGGTATCTCTGGATTATAGATTAATCTTAATTTATATGTTGTGTTTTATAAATACCTTAATATTTTTAAGTTAACTGAATTTTATTCTATTAGCCATTTTTACATGGGATGTAAGTCTCTGAAGATGGTGAAATAGCTCTAATACATTTTTATATCATTTGTTACCAGAGGTGTATTTGACACATTAGAACATTTAGTAGTTCTGTGAGTGACTGATGCTGATATAAGAAACAGGATTTTATGTGATTGATTAAGATTTACATAATCCTTCTTGTGAATTCAGATTCAAAAGTCTGTGAAACATGATTGTTTTTGTACGTGTGTGTGTCTGTTCATTCTTTACTAATCTACTTTCTGTCTTATTACTCTGTAGCCTCTGTATTATTTCGCTCAGTCATTTTAGCTATCATCTACCTATTATGATAGTTCATATTTCTGTCTTTATAACTAAATGTTACATGTCCCAAACAGTTCTTTCCACACACTTCCCAAATTGCACTTTACTTCTTACAGTCTCTGGTCATGGTTCAGAATACACTAATATGCTGTTGGTATACTCCTGTAAACTTCATTTATCCCTGTTGTGGATCCCCCTTTGTTAGATCAGATTCTCTTTCTCATCTGCCTAACTCTGGCCTTTTATCCAGTTTTTCCATTTTTTAGTGTTGTTTTGAAGGCTTACAATGATTTTTTTTTTTTTAGAACATAGTTTGGGCACCTTTGCTACTTCATTTTCTTCCTCCTCGCCTTCTCTCCTGCCACAGTTGTCACGGGTCGTGTTATTGTGTCCTAATAGTTCACTGTTTGATTTTCTTAACATCTTTGGATTTCTTCAGTTCCAGTGCACATTGTGCTACTGCCAGGAGAAGCAAAAATGCTTCCTTGCTTGCTTTTTGTTTTTTCAAGTTCATGATGCCTCCTCAAGCACCCTGGCTTCACTTTCATTCGAAATGTGTCTCCTCTGTGCTCTCATGAGCGCTCCATTCCCCTATCACAGCTCTGCGTACACCATTTTAAATTGTTCACTAGGTGCCACCACACCATAACTTACTTCATGGGGTATCCTTCCTTCATAGAGTGAGTTTCCTTCCCTCATAGGGTTAGTA